GACCCAGCCCCAATACGTTGCGTACGGTGCAAGTTGAGATTTTCCCGAGGCATAGAAATGATTAGGAATGGAAATTACCGACTATAATGGAAGATACTACCTGACACTGATCGATTGTGGGCCTAGCCGATTCGCAATTTGGCGACTCTTGCATCAACAGAATTCTACAGGCATCAACAAGCATTTCGAGGCTCTCTTTTACGGCCGAGAAGAACTACCCACAGACAATGTTACCGTGTTCTGTAGTCAGTTATTCAAAGACTTCTTACCAGAGTGGAGTGTCCAACTCCGCTTCCAATGCGCATACGTCCCTGCAGACAACGGTATAATTCAGAAAAGTGATCGCAGTATTAAAACAATCACTGCCAGGAAGCAATGCTCGATCATGGGGACGATCTACTGATATAATGTTACACCAAAAGACAACACCACCTTCGTTTCTGCGTCCGCTAATATGACCCATTGCTATTAGGTTAGAGTGAATGTAAGCGATTCAACTCTTCCGTCACGACACGAAAAGAGCACTCGCTGTACAAAATATAAGTTGTGTGTGGGTAGAAAACTCGCACAATTGATGTATTTAAGATATCAGATGGGGCGTGTAACCAGTATCAGCAGTCAACATGCAATTCTGATCGAGTGAATGCCACGCCACCTAAAAAATCTTCGCACAGCTGTTGGTTCCATTACACCAAAGAGCAAGATGCAGCAGATTGAGTACATCCATTGAAAGTGCAAAAGTATTGGGATTTGGAGCGTCTAATGTTCCTTCTAATGCAGATAACTCTGGACCAGATGAAGAGTGTGACTCATTGGAAAGCGGGTCCCAGGAAGAAGAGATTGTACCCTACGACGGAGTACCAAAATTAAAAGACCCGCACCCATCTGCAATAGGGATCAAGGAGTGAGGGAGTGTACAGAAGAAAATGGTGACGTAGCCCGAAGGCCAAAACGCTTTCATGTCGCATTCTGCTTTTGCAGAAGGAAAAAAAAAGAGAAAAAGAAGAAATAAAAATGCTTCACTATTGAAAGAGGTCAGCGAGCTCATGTAAATTAGCTTCTGCTAACCAATCGTGAGCAAGCTTTACTGAGTGGAATGGATTATACATAGAAAGATATACTAATCCATTTCTATGCTCCACAAATAGAAAACCTGATAAGTGGCTACCGAACTGCTATAAAATCAATTTACTTTTTCTACAAGTTGAGATTTTGCTTTCGGGGAGGCTGAGTGTGCGTGTACATGAAGATTTGAACTTCGTGAAAGAGAAGGTGTTTACTTTCTCTTCCACACGTCTCATTCATTAATATTACTTTGTTAACTGTAACTCTCTACCTTGAGTGTCTGTCGAGCCTTGTATTGAGTGAACTTTAGTATATAAACAAACGTTCATGTCCATACGACAATTGAGAGAAACGACGATCAAGTTCTGTCAAATTTGAACATTGTCATTGTATTCTTTGGGAAAAAAAAAGATCTCTTGCTGGCACGAATGAAATTCCATACGTGAATGTCACAGCCTGATACGTAAGTAGAATAAATCTGTTCATATGAGCAACTTTATGCTAACCATTTGCTGTTCTTCACTGCGGTCTGTTCCATAGGGAGTTCTAAAATAGTGACATTTACCTCAAATCTCCAGGAATTGTGCATCGAAAATTGATCGGCCAGGTCAGCGAGTCAAATTTCTATACAGAAGTTGTTACATTATCTGGGATTTGTTGATATACACACGTTCACTTGCCAGGCTTGAAAATAACACCAAGATTCAGTAAATCGAGTTAACGGAATAATCTCATACACATATACAAGGTATTCACAAAGTCTTTAGACAATTTCAAAAAGTCATTACGAAATACTTAGAAGAGGTGACAACTAAATCTTTGTTGTATATCAATATTATTAAAGTTCTTTTAATGATGTTAATAGTTTTGTTAATGTTACATTTTTGATTCACACCGCAGTTAATGTTGCTTTTAGGTTTCAGACCGCATTTTTTAAAAAATAGCAGATTTAAAGAAGTGAATATCACTTAAATGCCATTCATGCAACTATCCACTTCATATTATGTAAATATTTCAACAGTAGCCAATTTCCGTTAAATTTGAATATTTTTTTCTATTTGGCTCATGACTTATATATATATATATATATATATATATATATATATATATATATATACAACGTCAACAAAGCCCAGTCCGATGAAATCCTGTTGATATATATTATACAAAATTATATATCGTTATATCATCGTATATATATATATATATATATATATATATATATATATATATATATATATATATATATATATATATTCAAGCATGTTTCATTGAGTAATATAGATATATGTCCATTTATATAATAACCCTTTTAGTTCTATAACAAGTTTTTGATGTTAAGATGAAATTCAATTCAACAAGGAAAGCACCGTAGGTTTTTCTTACCCAAGTACTTTTGATCTACACTGAGATCATCCTCATGGGTGAATTACAAAGACAAAGTTATTATAACTGTGATCGTTGTGATGCCGAGTTAAAAAAAAAAAACCTATAGCTACAACGGATAAATTTAAATTTATCCGTTGTAGCTATGGATTTTTTTTTTTTTTTTTGCAAATGGGAACTAACCAGAAATATAATGATCTCGGAGGAGATCGAAAGTATTTGGGTAAGAAATAACTACAGCACGTTTCTTGATGAAGTTCATCTTAACATCAAGAAATTAATTAGAGAACTAGAAAGGATTATTATAAGAAAGATATATGTCTATATTATTCAACGAAGCATGTTTAAATGAAGATATACTGCCCATATATATATATATATATATATATATATATATATATATTGTTACGAGGATGCATTTCTATAATAAGGGATTCCTTTGAGTTCTACTTGTTATTACAAAAAAGTTTTCATTCATGAAGTAGTTGTAAAATAGAGAAATTAGAAATAGAATGTTTGGAAGATTCTAGATCATTCTAGTATATTCGAGACAAATCTAGATGATTCGAGAAACATCTAGAAATATGCAAATTAGGTGTTAGCCCCTATAAAAATGGGATTTTGGAAAAGGGTTGTCAGTTGATAAATGGGAATTTCTGCTGTTATCAACTCCGGCTTTTGATTCAAGGATTATGATATCCAGCCGAAAGAATCTCTATAAAAAGTTGCCGTTCCATGAAATTCTCTTTTGGGTTTTTGTTAGCCCAAAAGAGAATTTCATGGAACAAAGTTGTTAAATAGAATTTTGACTAATTTTCATTGACCAAACTAAAAATTAATATTTATTTACACACCTTTGTGGATTTCCAAATATAGCACTTAGATTACTTCACTAGCCCTAAAGTGATAAAGATATTTGATTCCCTTTCCTTTTTCCTCGTAACACTCCGCCAGTAACTCTTTGTTTCTGTTTTGTAGGCCACAATTGTTTATCCTGTATATATTTTATGTTCTGTTTTAGTAAATTAAATATTTGTTTGTGATTTAGCTCTGTGTTGTGGTAAATCATTTTTTTTTCCTTTGTTACAATTATCAACCCGTAACAATATATATATATATATATATATATATATATATATATATATATATATATATATATATATATGACGGAGCGTTCAGGGTGTTGCGCTGGATTCGGTCGGTTAAACATTCAAGTTTACATCAAGCTTCATCGACCGACATTATGCAGGTAGAAAGGAGCTTATTTACACCGATTTGCTGTTTTTAGTAAGAAATTTATTTTACACCTCCACCCTTTGTTTACCTTTTTTCAGTTTCGCTATTTTCATTGTTGTTGTTCCAACGAATTTTTTTTCTGAAGAAGTGTTGAACGAAAAAGTTTCCTTTAAAAGAATGCGTTCCGTCATTTTCAAAACCTACAAATCACTCGATGAATGTTATGATCCTTGTTTTACCATAAACAAAATAATTTCCATGCCTGAGGATGACTGAATGTACAGTAGAAAGTACTTGCGAATTAAAGAAAGACCTTATACAGCTCACAATTTTTTAAAAAGGATCATAACATTCATCGAGTGATTTGTGGGTTAATGCACCTTTAAAATTTTATTAGCGAAAGGGTTTCGCCATTTTGTATCATTAATTTTACTAATCTACTTTTTGTATGAATGATTCATTGTATATATATATATATATATATATATATATATATATATATATATATATATATATATATAAGCTGCTGCAAAAGTAATGACGTAAGAAGAGTTTCACACTTGGCCTGTGTAAATAAAAACAATGTACACTGTATTTATATTACGAACAGAAACCTACTTCTAAAATGATAACAAATCTCAAGTGAATGCTAATCTACATAAAATATGCCCGAAAAAGTTCTTCCCCCTTTCAGTTAATCTAAGCAGTGCCATTTTAACGATTACTAATAAAATATTTGTATAATTTCATGGATGTTAGGAAGTATTCGATGCACGCTACTGATGAACATTTCTCTCTCCCTCTCTCTCTATTTCCCTCTCATAAACACAGTCTATTCATGACTGATCATGGTTCTCCACAGCTTCTTGTCTTACTACACATCTTTGTCTTTGTAATACTTGTTTTTGTAATTCCTTTTTGATCAGATTTGTTCTGCTTTCCTCATCTTCTTTTGCCTTTAATGTATCTTATGGACGTTAAATTCCCCAAGTCTTCTTTCCTCATTATAGTGATTTTCTAAACGAAGCTTAGATGTGGTACATGGCTGAAAGCATGGGACACCCAATGAAGATCGAACTCGCTACTCAGCCGTAATTTTTCTAGCGAGTCAAGCTTACTAACCATTACACCACGTCGAAGTACTGATTCTTTTCTCGTGATGTGACCCAAACATTTTAGCTGTCAATTTCTTATGAATATCGACCGAATTTATCTGTAATTCTCGAGTAATACACAGACTATTTTATATGGATTTATTTGTGTTAAATATTAGAAGGGAATTAATTTTTTTTTCTTTTACTTGTTTTCTGCAGTCAATTCCGACAAGCGATTGAGACTGCCGGTTTGGTGGAACTTCTGGAGTCTAGCAATGGCCAGCTGACCGTTTTAGCCCCAACAAACGATGCTTTCGACACAATGGAAAGAGTGAGGCTCAACAAGTTAATGTCAAATCCTAAATTGTTGAAAAAGGTACGTTATAACAAACAGTATTTTTAAGGGTTGTTTTTTTTGGGGGGGGGTTTTCGAGAGGTGGGGTTGGGGGGGTTGGGTGGTAGAAAATAGGATCTGAGAAGTGACATTAAATTTCTACTGGGGTTGTGGCTGTTCCCTTCTCATTGATTTTCTTTGAAAATGGCTTACGGCCATATCACGTTGAAACACTAGTTTCCGTATGATCAACGAAGTTAAGCAACATTGAACCTGGTCAGTACCATGATGAGTGACCGCTTGAGAATATTAGATGCTGAAATCTTGGATGCGCGAGTGGTATAAGGGTTAATGGCTCGGAATTATTAATCGAAGATCCGAGTTTCGTTGGTTTTGTTATATTGACTTACGCGCAAATACCCTTGGGAAAGGTATGAATCCACCTCTTCTCCCCTTCTCTATGGGTTAATTAATAAGACTTGTATCACTAAAACATTATTATCTCCCTAAGAACATTCTTACCTTCTTAATATTTTCTGGCTTTAAATAACATGCAAATGGATGATAAGACGTAGAAAACAAATCAATTAATCAATTCTTTGAAAAAGACAGGAATCCAATTCTCCTTGCACTCTGCCCTATCGCCAGATATAATATCGTTGACATGCTTCCGTACTTGACAGAGAAAAATGTGAGCGCTTTGGATCATCACTCTGTTATAACTACCTTATCTCATCAGGCAGTAAATAAAAGCTGTTACTCCATTTTTCAACCTTGACTTGGACTAGACATGATTATTTTATGATTTCAAGCATTTATAATAAAACTATTTCTAAACTGCACGCTAGGATATGAATAAGTCCCACTCAGACAGCTTCTTCTCAAGAACTGTCGCTTTTTGTGAGAGAATCCCAGGGAGAAGCTTTCGCCACCACTACAATCTTAACCAATTCAAGTTTAAATTTAACCGTTATTTTTCCCACATATCCTCATAAACTGCGTCCTTTACTCTTACCGCTCACTCAACAATCGCCTTCAGTAAATCCTCTACCTTGAGTTGCCCTTGAACATTAATAAAAAAATAAATAAATAAACTAATTCACATACTCAACCAGAAGAAGTTCATTAACATGAAATTCATTGAAGTATTTAACAATAAAATAAATAGACTGGTAAATAGAAACAGTGTAGACATAAAAATCAATGTTGTATAGCCCACTGGAGGGGGTGGTCATGATCATCGGTGCCAAATCGAGCTCCGAGATAAAAAAGCGTCAATACAGGGAATTTTAACTTAAGTATTTTATTAACGTTCACCTCGACATGTTCTATCTATCCAGTGGGAGTCGTTCCGTCTCCAGTGGGGAGCCATTTCAGACACGAAAGAGATCACGTCTACATTCCTTGACATGTAATAACCAACTCACTAAAAAACCTTTCTCAATCTATCTCCTTTCCCACGCTCGTTCAGTCAATCAAAATCTACTTTCTTTATTTTGTCTCCCATCTGACCTCGAAGATCAACCTTAGGTAGTCCAAGCAGAGATACACTTCCTCTAAAAGATAATAGTCTGTTAAAATATCATTTAACATCAACACTGTTTGGTAATGCGTAGTTTCACGCCTTAAGGAATCAAAAGACCGTATAGTACTTCCTTCTATGTCGACTCTCTCTATATATATATAACCTAATGAACGAGTAAAATAGTTCTTACCTGTTGTGGGGACGGCAATACAATGTTTTCCAATTAGTCTAGTCCTGACTTTTAGTTCATTTATCTATATTTTATTTATGTTCTTTTTTTTTTCATTTTTATTTGTATTTTGGTTTTGTTTAATTTTATTTTTATTTATTTATTCATTTATTAATTTTGCATACATTCTTTGGTTGTAAACATTGATTGTTCTATCTTATATAAACATTTTTGTTATTCCGTAATATACCAGGAAGATATATATCAGAGTAACATAAACTCCCTGGAATCAAAGAAGTTAGATGCACAAAACATCATTTAACAAGAAAGAATGTGCACATAGCACAACACTCTCAAAACACATATGGAATCTCAAAAACATAACTCAAGATACATCAAATGTAATGGTAATATTAGCCATTTCAATACAAAGAAACCTTTGGCATTCATTAACCGAGCAACCAGTACTGCTTTCGGATGAAATTTATAAAATCTTTCTCTTAAGATAATTTTCAGAAAAATAGATTTTTCAAGTCTGGTAGTTGTTATTGCTCTTTCCAGTATTGATAGGAGTTTCCTTCCTAATCTTTTATTTGAAGTAGTATCGAATATCAACATCTTGATTATGTCACAGTTTTCTCTTTGAGCAACATGTGCTATCCATCTTAGTTGCTTTTCCTGCTGCTTTTCCTCAAATGATGTGGTTTCTGTTATCTGGTATAGTTTTATGCTTGTGATTCTGTAGCACCAGTCCACAATGTTAAAAGAAGTATCATATTTACTAAAACTCTCAGACTCCACTCGCTCAAAACCATGTTTTATCGTTGAACTTAGAAATCGGTTATATACAACTGACAGTTTAGATATTTCTGAACGAGTTTAGCACCATGCGTAGCATCCATGTGAAAGCCTCAAACTGACAAGGCTATTTAAGAACATAACTCGAGTCTTCAGGTTGATGTTTTCGTTTTGTAACAATGTTTGGTATTGGGTGAAACTCCTTCTAACACAGACTATTCTATGTTCCAGTTCCTTTTCTCCTATACTTATTTTTTTGTTATAACTGATCCATACGCCCAGATATTCGGAGTGTTTGGTAATTATTAATTCCACATCCTTAATTTTATGATGGATTCATGTTATGTGCCAAACTGCTCCCATTCCAATTCCAGATCATTGTTTCTGTTTTGGAAAGGTTTATTTTCTTAGTTTAGTTTCTTGGAGCACTTAGTAGAGTACGTTCCGTTCAAGATAATTCTTATCCCAACTATGAATAAATATGTCATGAAAAATAAAAGACAAAAAACACCGCTTTCAGTAACACAACAAAAATGCTAAAACCTTTGCCTAGAATATAAAAAAGGAATTATCACCTTTCCAGAATAATATAATTTCCGCCAGATCTCATTTCCAAATGTAGACACGAAAACAAATTCCTACTACGCTACGTTCAGTCATATCATGACTCCAAAGGCTATGGAACGAATAACGTAAAACGAATAAACTTCTTTGCAGCAAGGTGAGTCGAATGACTTGCTGTGAGCAGTAGTACAATACATTCTTTCAAAATTATTGGCTAGACTGTTTCGATAGGAAGCTATCAATTTATACCAGCGTGAAAATGTCCTTAGATAACATCTTAACTGTTGCCGCTCATCTTCGTCATATTTCGTTTAAAATTCTCTTTCATTTCTCTCTTGTCTTAATAGCATCTCCTTCATCACATGGTGGACCGGATTCTGGTGCCATGCGCTTTGGTTCCGAAGACAATGTACAATATGAACTCAGTCCAAGGCGAGACGCTCACTTTCCGATTGGCTCCCAACGATGATCTGATGGTGTTCGATATGCCCTTGTCAAAACCTCCCAACAACAATGCAATGGCTGTCAACGGAATACTTTATAAGTTAAACAGTTTTCTACAATGCGAGTGTCGACCAAAGAACATTGCAACTAAGATCTAAAAGCTTCAATCTCGATGCCAGCATGGAACACGACAGAATTGTTTGTTAACGAATGATTGGTCCATAGAAACGCATATTATAAGTTATGCTTTACCAAGTATCATATTGCGAGAATTCAATAGTCAACATTTTAAAAGCAATATTATTTTCTTGATTCGTTCATTGATAAACCTAAAAATAAGTTTTTAAAAATCTTGAATTAAACATACGAGAAACCACTGAAAATCAACAAAAACTCAAATGCTTTTGCATAAAGATTTATCAAAAAATACAACATATTTTGATCTAATTACACACACACACACACACACACACATACATATATATATATATATATATATATATATATATATATATATATATTAGTGAATACATGTAATATCCAACGTCGATAGCACGACTCGGAGTTTCATGCAGACTTGCAATCTTCAGTTGCTGGATACAGTCTGTCCGTTATGAAATTCGCGTTCTCATCATGATGATTTAAAATTGTGTATTAAAGCTTGTCTATTTTATTGCTGTTGCTTAAAGTGTTATAATCAATTATTTATAATTAATTATTTATAATTTATGTCGTTCTAATTCTTAAGCTTGAAAGGCAAAGAATAAAAAAATTAAAATTCAAAATTAGAAATTAGAAATTATGTAAACACGTTATGTGTCAAGGGGGATAACTCTCTTTTTTGCATAAAATATTATTATAATATTTAAAGTACTGTCTAATGAAAAAAACTTAGTACTATTTCTAATTTTTTTTTAATTCTTCGTCTTACGAACGTAAGAATTGGAATAACATGAATTATAAATAATTAATTATATTTTAAGGAACAATAATGAAATAAACAAATCTTAACACCCAATTTTAAATCATCCCCATGAGAACACGAATTTAATAATACTGAGAATGTATCCAGCACCTGAAGATTGCAAGTCTGCATGAAACTCCGAGACGTACCATCAACATTGGAAATTATGTGTAGTCACTAATATATACTTAATATCGCTGTTATATAACATTAAGCACTGTATTTATAACACCTGAGAAAGAAATATATATGTATGTACAAGTATACATATATTTTACATATGGGTGGTTAGAACGTTCGCTTTCTGACCATGAGAGCCCTGGTTCGAATCTCACCATGATCAATTAGTTAGGAAGGTGACTTCTTGATGTTATCGGTCGGGAGGAGGGGTGGTCCCAGCGTGCGGCACCTTTGGGAAATGCCTGAAAACCACACACTCTAGGTCAACACAAAACGATGACAGACTTGAACGCAATCTTCATGAAACAGACTGCCGCTGCCTGGGGTATACCTCAGTGCTGAAGCCTTCTGACGAGTGAACAGAACGATTGGTTCATTTACGAAACTCCAGAGGTGTTGGATATAACATCAATCAGCAAAGTGATAAATTTTATCTGTATTAATCTCACACACACACATAGACACAGAATATAGATATATATATATATATATATATATATATATATATATATATATATATATATATATTGGAAAACGGTATATAATATTTTGGATATCAAGAATAATTTTAGGAAAATGTATAACAAAGTAGTAAAACTTTTTCCATGTGATGCGTTTTAGAATTTCCTCGGACGAAATTGAAATTGACGCTGATGTAATTACATGCTCAAGAAGGAGAGGAACGCTGACATTTTAAATAAAATCTTTCTTTTTTTTATTTTAACTGTGCTTTGGGTATATAGTCTCACCGATTTCATAATAAAATGATAAACAAAAAGCAATTAGATTAAATTGACTTTACTATATACCCAAAGCACATATCTAAAAAAAGAAAAAATGAATTTAAAATTTCAGCATCCCCTCTCCTTTATGTGTATGTGGAATCACATCAACGTAAAGATCACTTTAATGCGATTAAATCCTAAAGGAGACGCGTCATAGGAAAAACTTTTACACTTTCTCATAGATTTATTTATATATATATATATATATATATATATATATATATTCATACATGTTTCATTACATAATGCAGACAAGTGTTGTCTATTTTATGTAAATTCTTTTCATGACGTCTGATAAGCTTAACAACATTATCATTAAACGAAGAAAGAAAATCACAATATTGATACATATTTTTTAATCCAATCTAAGCTTTCGGCTTACATAAGCCATTATCAAAGATGACAATAAGAATATTCTTAAATGTCTATAATTGTTAACAGAAGCCATTGGTTTATACTAACGGCTTCCCATACTTCGAATTCACTCTCGCGTGGTCAAGTGTGGCGTCATGAGCTGCGGTGCGATTTTCGCTTCCAGCGTCTTATATGCACGTGTTAATCGTTTCTTGGAAATCATCCATGTAAACAGAAACAGACTATCATCACATTCTTGTCCGTGTATTGCTTAATATGTTGTACTGTAATTGTCATCTTTGATAATGGCTTATGCAAGCCGAAAGCTTAGATTAGATTAAAAAATATGTATCAATATTGTGATTTTCTTTCTTCGTTTAATGATAATGTTATTAAGCTTATCAGACGATATGAAAAGAATTTACATAAAATAAATAGACAACACTTGTCTATATTATTTAACGAAACATGTATGAATGAAAAAATGCTGCCTAAATACACACTCTATATATATATATATATATATATATATATATATATATATATATACGTTTTACCAGTTTGTGACTGGAAGGGATAATTCCGAGGAGGATATAAATCAAGGGAGAGCGCAATGTAGAAAACAGAGCATTATAATGAGAATACAAAGACGGAGACTTTAATTATCTATTTCGTTTATAATTTTTATTTCGTGAACACTGAGATGTTCGACGTTAATTTTCTATTAACTCTACAAAAGTGCATCAAAGCGCCACAGTTTCACTACAATAGGTGTTGCTAATAAGGTTTCCGCAGCAAGTAAGATGTGCAGGCTTGAGTTACTAGCTCAATGTCTATATGTACGCATGCATACACACACAAATACAGTTTATTTGTATGTATATGCACACGCATACAAAGAGTAATTAATTAGATATGTTACTACGAATATAATATAGATAGACAGACAGATGAGAACCTACACACAGTAATTAGATATCTGAATGCCAATATGCGAGATAAAATTCATATAGATGGATACGTATATGTATACGCATACATAATATTAGATATACACATACACACATATATATCGTATGTATAGACACACATGTATATATACTCATACATGTAATTTTTATTAAAGAGGGATGAAATCGGTTTTAAAATATTGTGTAACGTTTCTTTTTTTATTATTTAGTTTTATCACTTCATACTTTTTTTTTTCTTCGCCCTTGGAAATAAGCGTATTGCTTTCTAAAATGATGAATTAATTGTCACAATATGATACGCGGCAAAAAAAAATTAAATAAAGATGAAGTTTTAACAAACGTTAAAATTTCTACCAGTTCTTACATTACCAAAAATAGAATCGAGAAAATGTCACAGATACACCAGAATATAAAATATATATCTGTATTATTTTAATAATATATTTGTTTCAGTTTATAGTTTTCTTATTGTTCTGTACTTTTCTTTGTATATAAGATTGTAATTGTTAAAACGCTTTCAAAATACACGTTGATGCAAGTTACGACATTGTAACGTTAAGAATAACCGTTTCCATACAGGTCGACATTCATTGACCAAACAGTTGAAGGTAATGACAGTTAAAATCTTTCTCTTAAAACAGTTTTCAGGAAAATAGGTTTCACAGACCACTAGTTGTTATCGCTCTTTCTAGCACTGATGGCGTGGGTTCTTTCCTAAAGTAATCCCCATCAATTTAAGGTAATGTGGAAAGTCGATATATTGATTATGTCATTATTTTCTCTTCAAGGTACATGTACTATCCATTTTAGTTGTTGCAGCTTTTGGAAGTTTATTCAAATCCTGAGGTCTTTGTTATTTTGGTCAAGGCCTTTATTTGTGATTCTGTCTTGCCAGTCTGCATGATTCAGCGAAGTACGTTCCTCCCTACGACATGAAGCTATTTTTAATCATTGATTTGAGAAAAATGTTGTACATAAGATAGTTTAGGAATTTTGATAATTAGTATCACCTCTATCAAATATGCTGTCGTCCATATTTGACGTGTCAGTTAACCCTTAAACGGTGGCCATCATTAATTGGAGATCAACAAAGATCATCAATTGATAATTTAAACTTTTTCCAACGATACTTCTGTCATTCATTCGTTATTCATGTCTAAATGTCTTTGTGGCAATTCTAGGATTCATAGGATCATTTCTTGGAGTATTTCCCTGCGAATAAAGCTGGGCGAACAAAGCCAACGACAATGCTGTCTATATTCTCGAAGAGAAAAGAGGCGAATAGTGACAACTTTGTGCAAGGAATGTAAAACTCCATTTTGCTTGAAAAGCTTCATTAATTATAATACTATTAAGACTAAAAACAAAAAGAATTTAAGGGAATATATTAAATTTAGGAACTTAACGTTTGCTTCTTTTCCCTTTTTTTATTTATATAATCGTTTTTATGAATTTATTTTTGTTTTTATTTATAATTAAAGTGTATATAAGCATAAAACCTACCATTTAAAAAAATAATAATTTTCTCGTTTTTATCCGTTTAATGTGTACATTCGCGGAACCTTCTTGCCCGTCGTTTAAAAGTTCAGAGGATAAACAATCAAACGTCTTAAGACTTCCAATTAACGCCCTCCTAAATATTGTACGTAGCACGTTGATAAATTGGTTTCGTACACTTCTATATGGCAGTGAATGCTGGACAATCTCCCCACTCAACAGAAATATGGTTCTACAGAAGGATACTGAAAATACCATGGACCGAATATGTGGGCAGCGATGAAGATTTAGAGAAACTAGAAACAAAAAGGATACATATATTTATCATCAGGCAGAGACAATTTAAATTTCTAGGGCACATAAATGAGGAAAGAGGGCTTGGAAAATTTGATATTCGTAAGAAGGTC